ACCTCTCTGCCAGGGGGTCCTGCGTCACCTTTGTCTCCCTAACCAGGGGGAAAGCAGTTACAGGGATGCTGCCCCATCTGCATGCCCCAAAATGATGCTCTGAATCAGGCAGGGGGAGCCACCGGGTGTGCAGGGAGCACAGAGGAACCACGCAGGGACCAGCCAGGGCTTGGCTCCTCACCTTTCTCCCATCCTCTCCTGGTGTCCCATCTTCTCCCTGGGGACACAGGCTGCAGTCAGTGCCAGACTTGACCACCGCAGTACAGGGACAGGCACTGGGGGCACAGCTCAGGGCATGGGGGCTCTTGGCCACTAGCCCCATCTGGGGGGATCAGCAGCCCACAGGACCTCCCAGCAAGCCCAAACGCAAGCCCTGCTCCCCCTACTCACGTTCTTGCCACTGAGGCCAGGTTTGCCGTCCTCGCCGGGTTTGCCCTGGGAGGAAGCAGAGGCAGCAAAAGCCGCCCCCCCCAAGCACCCAGGGTTCCTCAGGCCCCATCAAGGCCCCAGGGTGCAGGGAAGTGGGGGCCGGGCACAGGGTGAGCCCAGCAAAAGGACGCAGTGGGGAGGGCACAGGGCAGGATGTGTCCCCATGGCTTGTACTTACAGGGACGCCCGGTGGTCCCAAGGGTCCCACAGGTCCAGGCAGTCCCTGTTCCCCACGCAGCCCAGGCAGCCCCTGCAGGGAAAGGGGATGGGGAGCATTGGGGGGGGGTACAGGGGGTTAGCAAATGGTGGCAGGGCACCAATCTGCTCTGGGACAGCAGCACACTGCTGGGGACAGGGACAATCCTGCTGTGCTTCCCCGGAACAGAAAGCATGGAACAGGACATCGGTTCCTTACATGGCCCCATCAGAGGCAAAGCCCAAGCCCACCCTCCCCAAAGTACTTACATCCCGGCCGGGGTCCCCCTGCTTCCCAGGGTCTCCCTGCAGACAAGGAGAGGTGAGGACAGGGACACCCCTGACATAAAGCTCCCCGTGAGCATCCCCAGCCCGGAGCAGAGGGTGCACGGGGGGCAGCTCCTCCTGCCCCATCGCCCCCCAGCCCCTGCCCCTGCCCTGCCCCACGCTCACCCGCAGCCCGGCAGGACCTGGGGGTCCTGGTTTGCCCTCCAGCCCATTGCGGCCATCCAGCCCCGGCAGGCCACGGTCCCCCTGTAACAGAACAGCACGGCAGGGCTGGAGCCGTGGGGCAGGAAAGGGGTGCTGTGAGGCAGCCCTAGCCTGCAGCCCACTCACCTTCTCTCCTGGCAGGCCTCGGTCCCCGGGGTCACCCTGCGGGTGGGAACAGGAGTGAGCAGCATCCCCCTCAGTGGGAGCCAAGCAGGACATGGACCCCCCTCAGACCCCATGGGGACACTCACCCGAGCACCGGGGGGGCCGCGGGGGCCCTCCACGCCCTGCAAGAGACACACTCAGCAGTGGGGCACAGGGATGGAGTGGGGGGTCCTGGGTGCTACCCACCGACCCTTGCACACCAGGACCCCCCCGCGCTGTGTCCCGGCACCTCCCGCCCCACGGACCCAGCTCCTACCCTCTCTCCCGGCAGCCCCGGGGAGCCAGCGTCGCCACGGGCGCCCTTCGCCCCGTCCTCACCAGGGTCGCCGGCGTCCCCCTGCCAGGGAAGGGCACGGTCAGAGCCTGAGCCCTGCCCCCGGCGCTGCGGCTGTGCCGAGCCGCGATAGAGCCCGTGCGGAGCGGTTTAGGGCGCGATAACAGCAAAGGTCTCAGGACAGAGGCACGGGCTGCGAGGAGGCTGCTGAGCGCAGCGCAGCCCCCGGCAGGGCAGATCATGGCTGCAGAGGAACGCAACGAGCGGCTCTGCTGAGGCAGGAGCCGGCCGGGACCGCGATGGGTCCCTTAGAGCAGAGCCGGAACTGCCCGAGCCTGAGCTGGCTCCTAAGAGCAGAACAGCCGGAGCGCGGGGTCCTCCTGCACGACCCCTGAGCCATGAGCGTGGTGGGGGCTTCAGCCCTGCACCGGGCAGGAGCATCAGCCCTCGTGCCCCTCGGATCCCGTGCGCCCCATCCATGCTCCCATCAGCTCCCCATGGGAGGGGCTGTTTGGAGCAGGGAGGGCTCAGTGCACTGGGATGCCAGAGCACAGGCACAGCCGGAGGGAGTGGGGGGGACGACGACACACAGCATGGGGCACGGCACCGCCAGCACCCCGGGGGGAGTCCTCATTACCTTCTCACCCTTCTCCACCACTCCTCCGAGCCCCACATCGACCTGTGGGGCAGAGAGAGGCTGTTGGAGCACAGGGGGCCAGGCACAAGCCCGGGGGTGGGGGGGGTGGGGGGGTGGGCATAGCTTACGGATCGTCCTGGGGGTCCGGGAAGCCCCTGAAAGGAGAATGGTGACAGGAGGGGGTCAAGGGGAGCTGGTGTGGCCCCGAGGCGGGGCTAGCCCCGGGTTGGGGACGGTGGCACATGGCCCCACATCACTCACCGGCTCCCCACGGTCACCCTTGCTCCCTGGTGCTCCGGGGCTGCCCTGTGGTAAAGAGGGATGGCGTGAGGGGGAGAGGGAATGGGGATGCGTGGGGTGGAGGGGACCCCTTGGGGTGTGGAGCGGTGGTGCCCATGGGGCAGTGGGCACACACACACAGTACTCACGTTCCTGCCTTCAGGACCCGGGTCCCCTGAGTCTCCCTTCTCCCCGGGGGGGCCGCGGTAGCCGGGCAGGCCCTGGGTAGGGGGCAGGGGGGGTGTAAGCAGGACCCCCGGTACCACTGACTGCCCTCCAGCCCTGCACTTACCCGCGGGCCCCTGTCTCCGGGTTTGCCGGGCAGCCCTGCTTCACCCTGTGGGGAGAGAGGGGTCAGTGTGGGGTGGGGGGGGGGTGGGGGGGGCTCCGTCCTGGGGTGTCCTCACTTACCGGGGTGCCTTCATCACCCTTCTCTCCACGCTCTCCCTGTGGCACGGGTCAGCAGCACCAGATGGGGATAAAGCACAAGTCACCAGCGTCCCCCTGCTCCCCACCCCCCCACCCCACCCTCCTGCGGGGCCACAGAGCCCCACAGCCCCCTAGCCCCACGCTACCTCCTTGCCACGCTGCCCAGTCGGCCCCGGGGTGCCGGCTCGGCCCGGCTCCCCCTTCTCCCCTGGCTCCCCTGGGTCACCCTAGGCAAGGGGGGAGACAGGAACAAGGGGTCAGGGCAGAGTGGGGTGAGCATGGGGGCTGCTGTGGGGAGAAGGGCTCAGCATGGACCCCTCTGCTCCCCAGAACAGAATGGGCTGCAGGGAGAGCCCCTCTAGAGCCCAGTGGAGGGAAGGAGGGAGGGATGGATGGACAGAGGGGAAATGACTCCTGCAGTGGCGTTACCTTTGGGCCACTCCTGCCCGTGAGGCCAACGATGCCCTGGTGTTGGGGAGGGAGAGCATGTGTCACCGGGCAGTGGGGCAGAGCTCTGTACCCCACCAGCCACAGTCCCGGACGCACCCAGACTCACCCGATCGCCCTGCTCGCCCTTGGGGCCGGCCGGCCCGGGGATGCTCAGCCCAGGGGCACCCTAGCCATGGAGAGATGCAGTTTGGAGCAATGGCAGGAGCACTGTGAGCCTGGGGGCAGTGCTGAGCCCCCCATCCCCAGGGGTACTCACACGGGTGCCTTTCTCTCCCGCATCACCCTTGGGGCCGGGAGGTCCTTCCGGTCCTGGGAAGCCTCTATCGCCCTGGAGCAGATGAAACGGCACCATCAGCCCCCCCAGACCACCGCCCTTCTCCCCACCACTGCATAGCCCGGCCTGGGGACCAGCACAGTGTCCCCTGGGGTGGATGCCCAGCTCTGCAATCCCGCTCCCCAGCCTCAGCCATGCCCCGGGGGGGCACTGTTACCTTCTCCCCTCCGACACCAGCCACGCTGGGAGCCTGCAGGGGAAGCAGAGGGGACGGTGCTGGGTGCTGCCCGCCGGTCCCTGTGGCGGGGCTGGGTCAAGCAGCGCTGCACCCGCGGGCAGTGTCCCACGTACCGGCTTCCCGGGCGGTCCTGGCTCACCCTGAAGAGACACAGACCCCCTGAAGCACTGCCCGCCCTACCCACACCCCCCACCCCGGGACCCCATCCTCACCTTCTCCCCCCGTGGCCCAGCAGGTCCCGGAGCTCCCTACGGGAGAGAGGAGACCTCAGGTGCTGGCAGTGCAGGGACACGGCACCGGTACATGGCAGCTCCCGCGGTGCCACATCCACCATGCCATGGCCGCTGTCCCAGCTTACCTCCCTGCCCGCCGGCCCTGGGCGCCCTGGGGCTCCCGCCTCGCCCTGCAGCACAGGAGGGAGAGGAGGTGTGAGGGACAGGTTCACCCCAGCACAGCTTCACCCCACAGCACACCTACCTTCTCGCCTTCAGCGCCCGGCGCTCCACGGTCCCCCTGTGGAGCCAAGCAGAGGAGGGTTTCAGGAGCCTTTCTTCTCCACCCCACAGCCTCTGCCCCGCACACTGCCCCCAGAGCACATCCAAGACCACTGGGCTCCCACCATGACCCCCCAGCACAGCCACAAGGACACCAGGACCCACTGATGGTGCCAAACATGGCATGTTCTCACCTTCTCGCCTGTCTCTCCCAGCTCTCCTGGTGCCCCACGGTCCCCCTGGTGCAGGAGGAAGATAGGTCAGGGGCAGCAGGACCCGTGGGGATGGCACAGGTCACTGCACCCAAAGGCAAAGTGAGAGCATCCCTCGAGCCCCTGCATCACTCACCTTCCTGCCCTGCTCCCCTGGCGGTCCCCGGGGACCCTGCAAAGGAGGATGAGATGTCACCTCTGCCATGGCAGAGCACACGCACAGGAGCAGGAGCCCCCTGAGGGCAGCTCCTGCCCCGTACCCTCTCTCAGGAAACTCACCCGGTCTCCAGGGTCCCCGGGGCGTCCAGGTGGCCCAGGGAAACCTTCGCCGCCATCGCCCTGGGGATCAGGAAAGGGACAGCCGTGCCCACAAGATAGGCATGGGGAGCAGCGCGGGGTCTGCCCCACCGGAGCATCCCCACCACCCTCTTACCTTCTCTCCCTTCAGGCCAGGGGGCCCAGCAGGTCCCCGGGGCCCAGGGTCCCCAGGCAGCCCCTGCAAGAGAGCCCAGCTCAGCCCCGGCTGCAGCTCAGCCCTGGTGACGCGCAGCCACCGCAGCCCTCTCCCATCCCTGCTGGCCACGGGACTGAACTCACCGGGGATCCGGGCTCCCCGCGAGGTGCTGCCCCATCCACAAGCCCAGGAGGGCCCTGCAGAGACAGTGATCAGAGCTTGCAGACAGCCCTGGAGGGCTCCGTCCTCCCCTGCATCCAGGGGACTGCAGTGCTCTCCAGCACCAATGGAAGCCCCATCCAGGAGCGCTCAGGAGCCAGGGAGATGCAAAGCCACTCACCCTTTCCCCTCGGTCACCTTTCTCCCCCTGCAAGGGCAAAAAGCAAGTAAGGGCACGCCTGGGCTCTTCCCATTCCTCCCCTTGAATGGAAGGGATGCGCTGGACAGAGCCCATCATCAGTGGCATCAAAGCACATGCGTGCCACATGCCTGTTCCTGCTCTGCCCAGTGCCAGAGCTCATGCATGTGTGTGTGTGTGCATGGACACGTCTGGTGGGGACACAGCCCATGGGCAGGACCCAGGGAGCACACAAGGGGAGCAGCTTCACCCCCATCCCACACCTCCCTTGCACAGCACGGGTGGGATTTACCTTCACAAACTCTCCTGGTGGTCCTGGTGACCCTGGGGGTCCCAGCGGACCGGGGGGCCCTGGGTCGCCAAAGGGCCCCCTTGTGCCAGGGCTGCCGGGGGGGCCAGGGCTGCCCTGGGGGACAGAGATGTTCCATTAGCTGTGGCCGGGGCTGTGGCAGAGACCTCTCAGCATCCCCATCCTCACACGTACCGGCCTGCCCGGCTCCCCTTTCTGGCCTGGCAGCCCCTGCCTTCCGTCCGTCATAACCTGGGGCTCCCCCTGAATGAGGAGGGGAGGAAGAATCAGTGTCCTGCTGTCCCCAGTGCAGGACAGGACCTCAGGGCCAGGAGCCCAGCAGGGAGATGGGGACACCCTGGGGTCAGCAGACACCAAGAGCCAGGAGATGCCCCACCGGGACCCTGCAGGGCAGCCCCTGCCCGTCACCTACCGGCTCTCCCTTCTCCCCCTTCAGGCCAGGGAGCCCCATCGGCCCTCGTGTGCCCTGGGAAGGAAGGACAAGAGTGAAGGGGGTACAGGCAGGCAGTGGGACAGGGGAGGGATGGGGCCGTACTCACAGGATCCCCTCGGGGACCGGGGATGCCCTGGAAAACAACAGCTCAGCAGGTGAATGCAGGTCCCTGCCAGCAGTGGAGCAGGGATGGGAGGGGGGCTCCAGCCGAGGCAGGGATGGACAGTCACACTTGGGACACACAGGGACAGCAGTGACCCTGCCAGCTACAGAGACCCCTGGCACAGGGAAAGGGCCAAGCAATGGGGAAAGCCCATGAGGCAGCAGGGGACACAAGGGACACCCGCACTCACCGGCTGGCCGGGTGATCCAGGGCTCCCGGGGCGGCCGGGGCTTCCTGGTGTCCCATCAGCTCCAGGGTATCCCTGTGGGAGAAAGAAGCCAGCGTTTGATGCACTCGGGCACTACTGGACACCCCCCAGTGCAGTGCTGGTCCCTGCACCAGTAGCACAGAGCTGCGCCCAGGGACCCCGGCTGAGGCCTCGGGGGTGCTCACCCTGTCCCCCTTCTTGCCCGGCTGCTCCACACTTCGTCCAGGCAGACCTTGTGGCCCCGGGGGTCCTGGGGGTCCTGGCAGCCCGTGGCGGCCCTGGAGGGACAGCAAAGAGGATGGGCTGGGTGCTGGGTGGTGGCCAAGGGATGTGCCTCCTCCACCCCAATGGCAAGGGCTGGGCAGGTCCCTGCCCCAGAGCCTGCCAGCAGGACAAGGGGACATGGGGACCATGTCACTGCCCCCCCCCCGGGAGCTGTCCCCATCAGGATATTACCAGCTGCCCAGGGGGGCCCGGTGGCCCCGTGTGTCCTTGTGGTCCCTGTGGAGACAAAGCCAGTGGTGAGCATTCCCTGAGGGCTGGCACTAGCAGGGTTTGGGGGACACATCACCCCCAGAGCTACAGCTGGGATGGGGACACGGAGCACTCACTGCCTCGCCACGGTCTCCCTTCTCGCCCTGCAAGGGGACAGAGTGGGGGGGTCAGGAGCTGCATCCCCATGCTCAGCCCCTCATTGTGCTGCTGCCATCAGCAAGCTGGGGGTCCCTGGCCCCCACTGAGCCCCTGTGGCACAGTACAGCATAGTGCAGCACAGCATGGTGTGGGGATGCTCACCTTGGGGCACTGCACGGTGCAGGGCCTTGGCTTCGGCTCCGGCTCCGGCTGACAAGACCAGAGAAGCCTGCGTGAGTCCAGGGCAGGAGAAGCCCCCCGTGGGGCTGCTCCCCCCCAGCCCCTTACCCTGGTTAAGATGATGGGCAGGAGAAGCCCCCCCATGGGGCTGCTCCCCGCTCCCCTCCCAGCTCCTTACCCTGGTCGAGATGATGGTGCAGAGGTCATCGGTGAGCTCCCCCTCCAGCTCAGCCGGGGCAACGCCGCCATGGTAGATGTACCGCGGGTCCTCCCCGGTCACCATACGCCGGAGCTGCTCCCGGTCTGCTCCCTCCAGTCCCACTGCCAGCACCCGGACCCCTGGCCAAGAGCAGCCTCAGCACCCTGCGGAGCTGCCGTGCACCCTGCGGCACTCATCCATCCATCCTCACCCCCAGCCTTGACATCCCTGGCCGCCGCAATGGCATCGTCCCCGGAGGGGCCGTCAGCCAGGACCACCAGCACGGCCGGCACGCTGGGCCGGCGCCCCGCACCAGGGCTCAGCAGGTAGGTCCTGGCGAAGGTGATGGCTGCTCCTAGGGAGGGAGAAGGAGAAAAGGGCAGTCCGCAGGGTCCCACAGCGCTGCCCGGCTCCCAGAGCCGCCCCTCACCGATGGCATTGCCGCTGGGCTCCTCGTAGCGCATGGTGCGGATCTGCTCCAGCACGACGGACAGGTCACTGGAGCGGTTCAGCAGCAGCCAGGGCAGGCTGCGGTAGCTGTACGTGGCCAGAGCCACCTGCGAGGGCACAGGGAGCAGTGGGCAACACAACCCGCCCGTGTCCCCGGGGATCCCCCACCACCGCAGCCCCTACCTGGGTGCCGTCCGGGCCCAGGCGCCCCAGCGCAGACACAGTGTTGGAGAGGAGCGTACGGATGGCATCAGCGCCAGAGGAGCTGTCGCGGGTGCCGTGCACCAGGAACACGATGTCACCGCGGGCATCCCTGCACACTGGGGACAGGGAGGGGGTGAAGCGGCTGCTGGAGCAGCCACCAGTGACCAGGTCCCCAGTGACCCCATGGTACCTGTGCGCTCACTGACAGACGTCTCAGCACCGGGCGTGCTGCCCAGCAGCGGGCGTAGGGTGAAGGTGTAGCGCTGGCCCAGGCGCAGCCCCGAGACCTGCTGGGAGCTGGCAGTGCCGGGCAGCGTGCGCCCTGACTCCCTGCCCGCTGCCACCCAGGGATAGGGTCAGGGGGGCAGCGAGACCCACAGGGACACAGCCCAACCCAGGGACACCCGCCCGTCTCACCCGTGGGGGGGGTCCAGGAGAGGATGTAGCCAGAAGCACCAGGGACCGGGTTCCAGGTGAGTGTCACCGAGTCCCTCCGTACCTCTGTCACCTGCAGGCTGGTGACACGGCCCAGGGCAGCTGCCAAGAGAGGAGAAGCGTGTCCCAGCCCCATGGGGCAGCCCCCAGCTGGCTCCCACTCCCCACCCATCACCCTCCTCAGCCCAAGGCACTGCCCGGTTCCAAGTCCCCTCTGGGCTTCCCATGCCCTGCACACAGTCCTGTACCAGTAATGCCAGTGATGGTGGCTGGCTCGCTCTCCCGGCCACCGGCCATGCTGGTGATGCTGATGTGGTAGCGCCGTCCTGGCTCCAGCCCCGTGAGGTCGTAGGTGGTGGCGGTGGCTGGGAGCTGCTGGCTGCGCTGGGGCCCCCCTGCGTGGGCACAGAGGGGTGAGGGTGCACATGGGGGGGCCTGGGGGGTGCAGGGGGCTGGGGTCACTCTCACCTTCAGCCAGGCGCCAGACCAGGCGGTACCCAGTGCTGCCAGTGGCCGGCACCCAGGCCAGGCGCAGCCGGTGCTCTGAGGCCTCTGTCACCTGGAAGCTGCTGACGGGGGGCACTGGCGCTGCCTCCGCTGTTGGGCAGAGGAGCAGGGTTAGGGGCACAGCGCCTGGTGTCACCCCAGGTGCTGCCCCTGACCCAGCACTCACGGGTGGTGACGACAATGGAGACAGGGTTGCCCTCGCGGTTGCCGATGAGCGCTGTCACCTTCACGGTGTAGGAGACGCCTCCCTCCAGGTCGGGGATGTCGAAGGAGCTGGTGTGGCCGGGAACGTGGCGGCTGCTCTCCGAGCCCCCTGCCAAGGAGCATGGATCAGCCCCCAGCCCACCACCCCCACAGCCCATCTCCGTCCCCATCCCACGGTACCATCCCTGCGGCTCCACACCACACGGTAAGCCGTGGCTCCTGGCACACCGACCCAGGTGACACGGGCGACGTTGCTCCTGGATGCCTGCACCTCTAGCCTCGACACCGTCCCCACCTGCTCGGGTGCTGCGACACCAAGAGGACCATGTCACCGGGGCTGGCGGCCAGCGGCACCGGCCAGCACTGACGGGCAGGGGGACACCTCACCGGTCCGCGCCGTGGCGGTGACGGGGCTGCCCTCACGCCCATCCACAACGGCAGAGACACCAACGGTGTAGATGACGCCGGGGCGCAGCCCCTCGATGGTGAAGGCGGTGGGGTCGGCGGGGAGGAAGCGGGACTGCTCCACACCTACGGGGGACGGCTGCGATGGGAAGGGCTCTGGCGCCACCGCGCAGCCTCCCGCGGTGCTCGCACTCACCGTCGCTGCCCCGCCAGCTCAGCAGGTAGCCCCCGGCGCCCGGCAGCCCCCGCCAGGTCACCCGGAGCTGCCCGGGACTCGCCTCCATCACCCGCAGCTCCGACACGCTGCCCACCGCCGGGAGCTCTGCACCGCCCCACGGCACCACAGCGTCACCGCGGGATGCTCAGAGGGGCCCTGCGGCCACCCGGCACCCCACGGGGGTAGAGAACAAAGGCATTGGGGGGGGGGGGGGGGAATGCACAGCACTGGGATCCCGGTGCCAAACCCCGGCGGGGACTCACTGCGGCGGACGGTGAGCGTGGCCGCGCTGCCCTCCCTGCTGCCTGCGAGCGCCGAGACGCGCACCAGGTAAGCGATGCCCTCGCGGAGGTCTCCCAGCTCAAGTCCCGTCTGGCTGCCGGGGACGCGCCTCGTCCTCTCCGTGCCATCTGCCGGGAGCGCAGCCACAGGCACTCAGCACCCTCCGGCCAGCCGGGGCCCTGGG